TGACACACAAAAATCAACATTTAACTGTGTTTTTTTTTAATATTCAATTTAAATTATGAAATGGAATAATGTATAATACTAAAATTACAAACTTATTTACATAAATTCATAAAACAGTAGTTCAATAACATTTTGAATGTAAGTCAACAAACGTGACGACATGGCCTTTCACCCATGACCCGTGTGGAAAGGGTTAAAACACCCCCTGTCCTTACTAACTAGTGAGGTGAAATAACAAATTTATGCCATTCTAGTTATTGTTATGGTAAAAAAACTGTCTGGTTAGCAAAATCATGAGTTTGATAACATCTGATCTAAATTATTTTGTTCTTCAGAGAAATTTAAACTTCACAGTATGCTAACCATAAAGAAAATAATTCAATACTTAAACTCAACACTTCCAATAAGAAAAATGTCAATAAACGGATTTTGAGCTTTACAAACTGTTTGGCATAGCTCAACAGTCTTTGACAATCAATGAAGTGAAAACTCAGATTTGCAGGCATTGAGATATTGCTTTGATAAAAATGTTTTTTTGATTATGGTAAAGATTTTGAAATCCTTTTAGAACTTGATCATTTATTCTAGGTATTTATTCTAGTTACCAATATAACATACTCCAAGAGGCTTGCTAATGTTATAATGTAATGCTTGAAAATGGTAATATTTAAAAAATGAAGCAAATGATTTGCTTTTATGATTAAAATTACAACTGAGCAGTCATATTACTGGACTTAAAAACTTATAATATACTTTTGCTTCCAAAGTTTTTCAAATTAAACTTGTATGTAAATAAATATATCAGTAATGATTTCTGGCATTAAACTTATATGTAAATAAATATATCAGTAATGATTTCTGGCATTAAACTTGTATGTAAATGAATATATCAGTAATGATTTCTGGCATTAAACTTATATGTAAATGAATATATCAGTAATGATTTCTGGCATTAAACTTGTATGTAAATAAATATATCAGTAATGATTTCTGGCATTAACATTCTATATCTTTAACATCTTCAAAGAACCCCAAATTACAAAACAATCCTTTTTAAATCAAGTTCTGATAAATAGTATGTACCTTTAATATATTGATGCCTGATGGACCAAGAATCAATCCACAACAAATGTAGCCAATGATAGATGGAATCCCCAGATAATGGCATGGCCAGCTGAACAGAAATGATGTTACAACTGTAAACACAATGTCCTGTTGAAGAAAAATATGAAAATTTTAAGAATATATGTCAACCATATTGATTCTTCTTACTATAGGTTAACATAAACCACAGAAACACTGTACTTAAGTCTCACATAAAAGGTTAAGAATTTAAAGCCACTAACACGAATTAGAAGTCTATCTTCAAGAGGAATAGTTAAGTCACTGCCTCTAGCTAATACAAAACGGTTATTCTTTGGATCAATAAGCCAAATCATTCCTTCTTGTTCTTCATGCTTTTCAGGGGCTACAAGTAAATCATCCTTTCCAGATTTTTTCTCATGTTGTTTCTGCGTTTCTTCATTTTTTTTTAGATTCCATTTTGTGTCATCTTCTCCAACTCTCACAACAGCTTCCAAGTTTGATGCTTTCTGTAAACAGAAATGAAAAAAAAAATATGCTTTTAGCATACAAACAAAAGCAGTGAATATAGAAATACACAAATCATTGATGTTTCAAAAAATATTCAGTTTTGTTTCACCAACTAGAAAATTTGCTTTTAACCTTGGAAAAGTTCTATTTTACACACATTATACATAACCTGAAAAACATATCAATAAAAACAAAGAAATAAGTGTAAATGATCATGCATCTGAGGTTAAGTAGGTGCTAATTTAAAACATACAGAAGAGGCATGCATATGCCCATGACAGTGAAAAGAAAAAAGTACAATGTTATCTAAATTTTTCAATAGTTTAAAAACTTCAATACACATATCCGTCCCTTTATAAGTTACAGTATGATAGAAGTTTATATCCTTAACAATGTGGGTCATAAAAGAGCTTTGACTAGTTCAATTTAAATGTACATGGTAAATTTTGTGGCTTTTGACACCTCACATAAGAAAGTAAATTTTGATTATACTAAGAAAATGTTACCACTGAGGAATGATTAAACAGTATACCTAATTTAATATCAACCACATCTTTATTAGATAATAACTGTCATGATCAATTATTTCTATAAAAATAAGCTATTTTAAATATAGTGATCATGTCTATATGTGTAGGGTGAAAGTGGACTGTTCTTGAACCAAAAAATGCTTTATTCTGATTGGAGGTGGCTGTATCATATAATTATTTCATAGAAACAAAATTTACAAGAATATATTTGTCAAACTGAGTTAGATAACACTGTACTTATGGCATTAGGTTTAGGGGGCCATGAAAAATTTAAATTAAATTTTTGAGAACTTTCACAAATTCATTATTTTTACAACCCTGAAATTTTTTCATTAATTTCCCTTGAACATGGTTCACATTGAATATGAAATTTAGATTTTACCTAAAGTAGAATAATGATGTTTAAAAACAAACTTTTAAGGGCACTGAGTAAAGGTGGATAATCTCCATCTTGTAGAGTTATGTACTGATAATAAGATAAAAGTGACTGTTACAGGTGTAATCTCAAAGGTGGTTGTGATGAACATTTGTCACAAACTAGATTACAATATCTGATGATATTATAGAAAAAATATTACTAAAATGGAGGAAATTAATATATCATTCATTACATTTTTAATACAGAATTCATATCCAATCTGAAATTTAGTTAAAGATATTCTTAAACTCTTATGTTGCTCATGCACAGTTTCACTGACACAATTCTTCAATATAAGAAGCCTTTACAGTTTCTCACTACTGATCTTGAACCTCAAATATATTCTTAAGCACTTTTTACAATACTTACTTTGAAACTAATTGGATGAAGAACAGGAGAAACACAAATTTCATGAATCCAGAAATAAAGGCCTGAGGTCAGAACCTTTTATTCACAAACACTACAAAACTAAGAGTGAAATAGCTAGCTACATGAAGAATATGACATTCCTAGAGAAAAAGGTCAATAACATGTCAAATGGGACAAAAAAAAAGTTGACCAAAAGTTATAAATATGGTGATATGCATTACATAAATAAGTTACTTGATAAGTATCATGAAAGCAACTTAAAAATGAGAAAGATGACTGAGCTACTTTTGCAGCTGGTATTTTTTTAACTTGTTTACATTTTAAAGTAACAACAAGTACATTTAAATTCTTGCTAAAATTTCTAAAGTAAGAATGTACAAGTTTTAAATTATTAATTAAAATATATCAACATCTCTAAGATTAATTCTCTTTCAGCAACTATGTTTATTTTAATCTACAAGTTTTTGTGTGCCTATGACAACATTATTTTGCAGGTGTTATTTATTTGGGCATTACATAATTCACGGAATTCACTAAAGTGTCTTAGGACAAATGTGCTATTATTTTCCTTGAATGCTTTATTTTCTTACTAATGCTCTTTATCATTCCACTGCATCTTTGTGAAAAAAAAAGTATGTTTGTTGATGACCTTCTTAGCCAATTTACACTTCTGCTGGTTTTTCATTCTTATTATTACCCCTTGAACCCCTATCAATGACAGTAATTTGACAACATTATCTGATTTGATAGGTCTACGTGCAAAAGTTTAAGTTATGTAAGAACAACAGAAATTGAAATAGATAATAATAGCAAATAAAATCTGACAATGCAATTTAGTCAAGAGTGAAACCATGAAGAAAACTGTTATTCAGCCACATTTTTTCTGGTTCAAGTAATTTAATTGGAGGGAGTGTGATATTTAGAGATGAATTACTTAGTTAACATTTTCAGTTTTGATAATAAATAACAGTTATCACAACAATCTCATGACAAAGTTATCTGTGGGTGTACTACATTAACAAATGCAACTTCTCTTTTACTTTGAAACACAGATCATTACTTACAGAAAATTGAAAAACAACAACAAACAACATAGTTTAAACCAGACATTAATTAAGACATAATAAATATGTAACTGTTGAAGCAACTATTCATATACAGAATAGCTTGGGTTGGAACAGCGTACTAATGATCATTGTTTTAAAGTTACACTTCCATCAACATTTTCATTAGTGTTAAGCTGGCAAAGTACTATTAAATTAGCACTGGAGAATTGGTTAATACAACCAACAGTTTATCAGAGTATATTATTGAGTTGAACAACAGTCAGCATCTTAACCATAGGTCATTCAGTGAAGAATCCAATGATAAGGTAAGCATTAAGAAAGCTTAGCATGAAAGGAAAATAAGTATTTAGTTATTAGTTTTCAAGATGCTGATTCTTTAAATGAACAGTCAATGATCAGCATGTACTGAGGACATAGTGCATAGAATCTACCAAAAGAGTTCTTATGGAATTTCCATGGACAATTTACTAGCTATATCACACATCATTTCATGCCAAAAAGAATGGGCTTAATAAAGTAAAAACATACTTGTTTTACAAAAAATATCGTAAAAAAAAGCTGTAGTTAAACCAAGCTAGTTAGTTACCCAGTGAGTTAGCTCGAAGTTATACAATACTTATGTCAGCATTCAGCCTAAAACTAGCAGCATTCTCCACTATGAATCAATGTTCAGGTCAATCACGAGTTGTCTTCTGTATTCTTACAATATTTTCTTTTAACACGAGAGCTAAGTTATAATAACAATGTCAATAAGTAGATAAAAATTATGTTAGAATATAGTTTTTTTAAAATGGTACACAATAATTTCTAATTCATTAATTACTCAAAGCCAAGTATTAAATCAATATAAGTTCGTTCTTACTTCAAGAAATTAGTAACTTCTTATATTCATGTTTTGTTTTTATGAACCCTGTTACTATTTCCTTGTTTCTCATGTAAATTTCCTTGAGTTGGTGACCTGTGTAAAAATTAAGAGCTGAATGTTTCTGGTATTTTAAACACTGTAACTGGTTCATTACTGAACATTAAAACACCTTATAGAGGATTGTTGTATATTGATATTTAACATCAAAGTAAGACTAAAGAACAAGTAAGCAAATGTTTGTCAGTATCTGTTTCATACTGTGAGCTTTAATGTTTATTACTGTTGGAAACAAGAGTTAATTTAATACATACAAGTACTTACCACTTCTGAGCCTTGCAATATGTTTTCAAATATATTATCTTCCATCTGACTTTCTAGTTTGTCTGCAGCAACAGCAATGTTGTGTAGCAACTCATCAGCATAACCATGCACATGCAGAGAAGTATTCTTCTCCTGGAACAAAGTTTGTTTAATTGTGACATGGAGTTGAAAAGGAAGGAAATTGAAAAGGAATATGCAAAATATACCTTTTTCTTTATAATTTTTTATATATTTTTAACAAAAAGCCTGTAACTCAAAATATTAAAATTAAGCAAGATTGTGCTTTTCTCATTTTAGGAAAAATACAACAAAATATATCATATGTTTCTCTCTTCTTTTAATATTACCTTAATTAAAAGGGGTGCAAACATATTAGTTTACTAGAAAAACTTTAAAGATGGTAGTGACAAACATCAAGGAGTTTGTCTTTAACTTTATATTAATGAAAATGCTTGTAGCGTTTGACCCTAAAGTTACACTGAATAATTATTTAAACTCTAATAAAGCTGTAAGAAATTTAACTGGGGTTTCATGAGTAATTAATATGTATGACAAAAACTGAATAAAGTTAAAGAGGAATTATTTTAGATATGTGATAGAAGTTAAAATTATCTCTCTCTCTCTTACCATGAATAAAGGGCTATTTGAAAACTTGACAGTCTTTTAGTATAAACTAGAATAAAACATCCTTACAAATAATTTATGAATGCAAATCTAACTGTTACAAAAGGAGTGAACATGACACAATTTATCAGGTATGGTGATACTATTAAGAAGTCTGAACCCTTGGACCAACCTACCCAGCTAATCATAGATTAAAGGTATGAGCATTATTCTACTCTATCATTTTTTCTAAAGTAACTTCATATACATATGAGCTAATTCTTATCATTTTAAATGGTATTACTTATAAACAATTCTGGAATTATTGAAATATTAACATGTTTTTAACTTTTACTTACGTACCATACCATACAATACTATGAACACATAACTATATTTACAGAACCTATAAATACAAAACCTGAATATCCCTATGTGTGTTCTCAACTTTGGACACTTCATTCAGCATAATCTGCTGTTTGATAAGTGCCTCCTGAAGAAGACGTAAATGCGTTTCACAGTTGTTCCGAACTTTTGTCAAATTTTGGAAATCCAGCTACAGCAGCCAAACAACAAACAAAAAGGAAAAAATCAATTTCAAGATTATAAAAGTAAGTAAATTCGAATTAATAACTACATTTAAATACTTTTATAAATGACGAGTATTGGGTACACTTGTACACAAATAAATAAACAATAAGGAACCTCTAGCCACAGACTTCGAAACTAATTACATCAATCAGATCTAAAGCATTTTCGACAATCAAAGACACTAATCAAATCCCTGAACATCCAGTCTTTATATAATTTACCAAAAGAACTAAACAAAGCTCTTTTCTTCAAAAATCATATCCCCAAAATTTTAATATCTGTCACTCTGATACCAATAAAACCCATACATTTTGGTAAACAAAATCTAAAAATTAATAATTCTTACAAAAATGGTTTTCTACATTTAAAAATATCTTGCAGTTATGTATTTAAAGATACTTATTACATGTAACATATAAGCCTGCATTTAGATGTCAAAAATTTATGCTTATTACATATGAAATGCAAACCTGCATTTAGATTAACAATGTTTATACTTGTAACCTTATGATACATAAGTCTGAATTTAAGTTTACAAAAAATATGATTATTACATAATTATTTATGTTTACTGCCTTTTATTTTGAAATACACTTGCAATTGAGTTTGTAATTTTTTGGTATTGAATCCGACATACAAATTTCCATTACCAACCTTAGTTGTTGAGAATACAATCAGACTTTTTGAGGCCTGCTTATATATTTAACCATTTTTACTCTTCACTGTGCTTTTTTCAACACAGCAAAAAAGTTCAAATAGTTCAGTTTATATATGCTAGCAGATACTCTTAAAAATATGAATATACATATGTTTGTACATATATACATGTATATAACTGTTTTTTTTCTGTAGGATGAAAATTTGAGAAAGATTGTTGAGCTATGTGGACTAAAAGGCATTTCATCATACTTATAACATCACAATTTAATAAGAAACCAAGCTTACCTTGAGGATGTTATTAAGCCTTAAAATTGCAAGATGAATTCCTTCTTCTGCTGAAACTAGTTCATCCATGTACAAATTGAACAAATATTGTTTCTGTTGTTTTTCAGTTGAAAAATTTTTCCCTTCAGTTTCCTGAATCTTATCTTTTTCTTTGATACGACTGAGAACTTTCTGTTTTAACTTGAGTAACTGATATACCTGTAAGAACCCATAATACAAATCTTTCTGTACTTCATAATTTTAACCGTGCACAATAAATTCAGTATTTAACTTCTATCATGGATAATATTTCATATGGAATCTAGGTTTTATTAATTATCAAATAAATAAGCTAATGTAATCCACTTAATAAAAAGAAAAAAGAAATGATATATAACAGAGGAAGTATCAGATTTCAATTAGCTTAAAAAACAAATTAAAAAAATTAACAAATCTAGTGAGATAACATACTATTATGTTGTTTTCCTGTTAGATTTTAAGAAATTCAAGAACTTGGGAAATAAATTATATAATTATAACAGGGTTTTTGGAATAATTTATGAAAACATGGTTTATGTTATTTCAGTAATATCCAAACTCTTATTTAAAAATTATGATATTCTGAAATGCATTCTAAGATCCTCTTGAGTTTTACAATAAAGAAAATGAACTTTATCATCATTACAGATCATACATGATCCTGTATTTAAAAAAATGGAATATATATATAAAGAAAACCTTGCACTATAAAAAGCAATACAGCATATTTATGATTATTGTATAAGATCCCTATAAATAAAATATCCATTTCAAAACCACAAAAGATTCAGTGTGTTTTAAAGTTTTCTTTGCCTGCACATGTAATTTTTATAATTTGTTATAATGTTGTTTTTTTATATTAGTACTCTATCTACTTTAAACTTACTTGAAATATATATACATTCCCATTAACATTCCTTTGTTGGTAGATATTATTTTTTTATGAATTAATAAATTATTTTTTGAATTTTCTTATGTATCTGATACAATTATCCATTTATTTTTACATTTAATTGTATAAGATCTTTAGTATTTTATGGTTTTCATGTTACTATTGTTTACTTTTTCACAGTAGGTTTACTGAAATGACACAGACAATTATTGTTTATCTTTGCTATTTACAGATTGGATGCCAAACAATTTTTCTGGTGCTATATTCTGAACATAACAGGATGAGAGGACAC